TAAATTTGATTAGGGTTTATTACACTTAAACCTTACCGTTTTTGAAATATTTTCAATTTTGTGAAATTGCAGTATAAATTTTAAGGCTTCATTTCTCCGAGGGTATCAAGGTTTTTAATACTAAATATTTACTGAAGTTTATTTATTGATCAGTTATTGTGATGCAATAATAAAAATTTTACTACCTTATACAGAGTGTCTAAATATTTATTTTAAATAATTATTAGCTTTAAACGGCAATAACTTGTTTAATTTAAATGGAACACCCTGTATATTTTATGAGAATCAGATGCACAATTTAATTGTCTATCAAATTGTATTATACCATTTATTACCTATCTCTTCAAGTTTCCGTAGAAAATGCATTTTCTTGTAATATAGAACTCATTTATCAATATACCCATGGAATACTGACATTTTAGATTATTTTTAAAGATGTACCAAATTTTTAAAGAATACAGATACTAATATTGTCGATATAGTTCGGTTATTTTATTAAAAAATAAAAAAAAACTGTTTAAATATTTGTTAAAGAGGACCAATTATATGATTCCAGTATTCAAACTACAGTAAGTGACTGTTTGCGTTGATTAATAATAATTGCTCCAAATACTAAAAAACTGATTAATGTATGTGTATTAGACAGTGTGGTAAAAAAACTAACACCTTAAAAATGATATTTCATTTTTTTGACAAATGCTTATTTATAACAGAGACGTTCATTTTCATAACTTATTATTATATCGATTTCTGATTCAAATCCACATTTATTTAGAAATAATTTATTAACGAACACAATTAAGTATGTAATTAATTAGTATTTGGGCGGAAATACTGGTGGTATATTTAATTAATGGTATGCTCTTTTATAAAGATTTAAATAGTTTTCTTTTTGCGTACAAATGGGATAGTAATATTATCGTTTTACTAAAAACGATAATATTAATAGCATGTACATTTTGTACATTTGTTGTTTTAAAAACAATCTAAAATGTCAATATTCCATGGGTATATAAATGAGATCTAAATTATAAGAAAATGCATTTTCTACGAAAACTTGAAGGGATAGGTAAAAAGTGGTATAATACAATTTGATAGACAATTAAATTGTGCATCTGATTCTCATAAAATATACAGGGTGTCCCATTTAAATTAAACAAGTTATTGCCGTTTAAAGCTAGTAATTATTTAAAATAAATTTTTAGACACTCTGGATAAGGTAGTATGATTTTTATTATTGCAACACAATAACTGATCAATAAATAAACTTCAGTAAATATTTAGTATTAAAAACTTTGATACCCTCGGAGAAGTGAAGCCTTAAAATTTATACTGCAATTTCACAAAATTGAAAATATTTCAAAAACGGTAAGGTTTAAGTGTAATAAACCTTAATCAAATTTACCTTTATTTTAATCGTAGAAACTAAAAATGCAATAATATACAGAGTGTTCCATTTAAAAAAATACAACTTTGATATTTTTTATTTTCCTTTTTATTTTCCTAATAGTCCTTCAACTACAATTTGTAAAAATATAATCGTTTAACTACAATACTCCGTGTCGTATGTGGTGAACAACCCTGTATAAAAGTTGGACGAACATACTAAATATTAAAATTACCCATCGATTTTATTGTTAGAAATTCTAAGTAATTCATGAGCGCGTTCAAAAACGTTAAGTTAAATTTTTAATACGACCTAGATAGCGGCTGAAATCGATTGGCATAACGATTTGCAAAAAAAAACACTTATCTCACAGACAATCTTAGTTAATTACATATACAGGGGCCGGCTATTAGATCGAATGAGTCATTCTTAGTGAAAGTCAAGCGATTAATGTACAGTTCGTTTTTTTTTCAGTAGCTGTAGTTTGAATGTCGAGGATTATTGAACTTCTGGATATGGACGATTATGTTCAGTTACTTTTTTGATCAAAATTTTTTAATTGTATCCCCAAACTCATTTGGATAGCAGTGGCGTCGTTGGTATAAAATTTGGTGATGAGTTAATCCCTTAAATTGCGCCGCAGGCGAAAATTTTTTTGGCGCATTCACCATTTTGTCAACATTTTTAAAAATATTTGAAAATTTTTGCCGCATTCACCATTTTGTCAACATTTTTTTTTGTTATTATTTATACACTAATATCTATAATATTTTCGTTTTAGTTTGGGCTAAAACACATTAAGTAAAAAGAGATACAACCAGTTTTCGATAAACACATTATTTCGCATTCCAGTGAAAATATAATTAAATTTAAATTAAATATAATAAACATTATATACAGTGTCCCCCATAAAGTTGGATCCATATGGACGTTTTTTTTTGGTATTACTGTTTTAAAAAATCACTTCTGCTTTGAAAACAACTTAAAATGGACCAAGTCAAAGTTGACAGCTAACATCTGAGAGCTGTCAAATACAAAATATTTAAAAGAAAATTTTAAAAATTGGTTAATTATTATTATTTTAAAAAAGGTGACTAACAAAATTATATTTCACCATTGACTTGGTGCATTTTAAGTTGTTTTTAAAGTAGAATTGATTACCAAAAAAAGTTTTTTTTAAACTCTAATACCAAAAAAAAACGTCCATATGGATCCAACTTTATGGCGAACAGTGTCATTATTGAAGAGCTTCCCCGAAAAACGCTGTAACCGACATTTTTTTTTCAAAATAGAGAATTCAGTGAAATAAGGTTGTAATTTTCATAGGTATAACGTTTTTTCCGCGGTTTTTTCACTGAAATTTCGTTGAAAAAATTGTTAATTACAACCGAGGAGCATTATTATTCAATTATTATTCATTATTATTCAATTATTACATTATTATTACATTAATGTTTACTAAGCAATATTAACCAAAATAAATTTGACTTATTTATATTACTAACCTTACTAATTTTTGTAAATCAGCTCAATTTTTCATGTTTCAAATTGCACACCAAGTCATTGATTGGATTCATTTTTTACCACATACATACAAAAATTAACAAGTTAAATCAACAAAAACCATTAACAAACAACAATAAATAATCAACAACAACTTTACAGTCTTTACACGGTTAATTACTCACCGAAGTAGCCGAATATTAGCATAAAGGAAGACGAAGCGAACTGCGCAAAAACTCATTCACATCGGCCGCCGATAGAAAATTTCGGGGCGGGGAATTTACATGCTGCCGCTAGGCTGACGTCACGTTACCATGGAAACCGTGCAACCGCATGGCTCACTAATACAAAAGTTTTCACTTGCACTTGTGGACGTGGAAACATAGGCGCGTGCGGGCCAAATGCTACTTTTTCGGCCGGAATTAACGATGCGGTGGACCTATTATGCAGAGGTCCGCCCGGAAAAAAATAAATAATTTATGAAAAATTACCATTTTATTATTTATTTTTTTATAATATAAAATAAAACGTCCATATGGATCCAACTTTATGGCAAACACTGTCATTATTGAAGGGCTTCCCCGAAAAACGCTGTAACCGACATTTTTTTCAAAATAGAGAATTCAGTGAAATAAGGTTGCAATTTTCATAGGTATAACGTTTTTCCAAGTGGTTTTTTCACTGAAATTTTGATGGTTTGTTGATTACAACCGAGAGCCATTCATTATAAACAACACAAATAATCAACAACAAGTTTACAGTCTTTACACGGTTAATTACTCACCGAAGTAGCCGAATATTAGCATAAAGGAAGATGAAGCGGAACTGCCTAAAAACTCATTCACATCGGTCGCCGATAAAAAATTTCGGGGCGGGGAATTTACATGCTGCCGGTAGGCTGACGTCACGTTACCATGGAAACCGTGCAACCGCATGGCTCACTAATACAAAAGTTTTCACTTGCACTTGTGGACGTGGAAACATAGGCGCGTGCGGGCCAAATGCTACTTTTTCGGCCGGAATTAACGATGCGGTGGATCTATTATGCAGAGGTCCCGGCCCGAATAAAATAAATACCATGAAAAATTACTATTTTATTATTTAATTTTTTAAACTCTAATACCAAAAAAAAACGTCCATATGGATCCAACTTTATGGCAAACACTGTCATTATTGAAGGGCTTCCCCGAAAAACGCTGTAACCGACATTTTTTTTCAAAATAGAGAATTCAGTGAAATAAGGTTGTAATTTTCATAGGTATAACGTTTTTTCCGCGGTTTTTTCACTGAAATTTCGATGAAAAAATTGTTGATTACAACCGAGGAGCCATTCATTATTATTCAATTATTACATTATTATTACATTAATGTTTACTAAGCAATATTAACCAAAATAAATTTGATTTATTTATATTACTAACCTTACTAATTTTTGTAAATCAGCTCAATTTTTCATGTTTCAAATTGCACACCAAGTCATTGATTGGATTCATTTTTTAACACATACACACAAAAGTTAACAAGTTAAATCAACAAAGACCATTAACAAACAACAATAAATAATCAACAACAAGTTTACAGTCTTTACACGGTTAATTACTCACCGAAGTAGCCGAATATTAGCATAAAGGAAGACGAAGCGAACTGCCTAAAAACTCATTCACATCGGTCGCCGATAAAAAATTTCGGGGCGGGGAATTTACATGCTGCCGCTAGGCTGACGTCACGTTACCATGGAAATCGTGCAGCCGCTTGGCTCACAAATATTTTCACTTCACTTTTAGCTTCGTGGAAACGTAGGCGCGTGCGGGCCCAATAGTGCTACTTTTTGCCGGAATTAACGATGCGGTGGACCTATTATGCAGAGGTCCGCCCGGAAAAAAAATAATTTATAAAAAATTACCATTTATATTGAATAGCAAATGACCAAAAACATGACGTGGAATAAATTATTCTATTGTTTTGATTACCTAATTTAAACCGTCCGCCTATGTTAAAAAGTGAAATAATGCATTTTTTGCTTTATTTGTGAAAATAAGTAAAAAATGTCTTTTATTTTCTTTTTGGCCTCACTCTAATATTAAAATTGACGTGAAAAATATATTTTCAGTGCCCACGTTATACACGAACCATGTATACCTCAGGACCAATGGCTGATGGGCGGTCAGCTGGGGTCCAGAAACGCCATTTTGGTGTTCAAAAGTTCCGCGCTGGCCAATCCTTCCGAAGAGGCCAATCAGGATAAGCCTGGTCACAAACTACACGTAACTTATAAGGTAGTAATTTCTCGTTGAATTTATTACATGATTTGAAATTGTATGTTTTGTTTTGTAGGTGTTGCAAGCTGAGACAAAATTATTGTCTAAATTGTTAGACTGTCACGGCATAATGGAGGTGGCACCTAATTCAAGCGATTTTAATTTATTGTGGACTGGATCTCATCCTAAACCAGGTAGGTACCATACGATCGAAAAAAAACGACGTCATAGACGGCTGGGGAATGACAACCCATGATAATTTTGGCGAGGTCAGCCTCTAGACGTCATTTACTTGGCCCGTATTTGTAATTTATTTTTATTTGAGTAAAAATGATTTTTAATCCATGTAGTTTAAAATTCGAGAAAAAAATAATTTTTTGGACATAGATTTGTATGTCTGGAAACTGGAAACGTCCTATACTTTTTTAATCTTTCTACAGTATGTCCCCCGATTGTCTTAGGAGGTGGCAACATTGCGAGGCTTCATTATAGCGTTAGTAAATTTCAGGAGAATGATCCTGCAGCAAAAAGTTTCTTAAAATTTCTCTGAAAACGTCTAGAAAGATTTAAAATTCACTTTTTTGCGAGACATAATGTTATGGGTGTTTTTTATACATATTTTGCTGTAACTTTTTTATAAAACACTCTGTAGGAATTGCTATGATTAATAAAGCGTGTTAAAAATTGTACTGTTGAAAAATAAATTATCCGTTCTCTTTCATTATCTAGTGCTGATGCCATTACATAAAAAAGAATCTGTACAATTATTAATAATTAACTATAATTATAACAAATATCGAGGAAACACCTATGTATTATGAAAACAATAACACAATGATATAACACTTTTAATTATATATTTCATTTTTTTACCTACAATTTGTGTATTACAGAAGTTAGAAAGAAGAAGCTATTTTATGTGTTTGCAATTTTTAGAGAATTAAAGTTATAATTGATTCTATGTACCTTTTTTAAACGTCACACGATATATAATTACATACAAGGTATGACTTTTAAATCTTTCTATACAGGGTTGTTCACCACATACGACACGGAGTATTGTAGCTAAACGATTAGATTTTTACAAATTGTAAGTTTTGGGTTCGTTGAAGGAGTATTAAAACTACAATTTAAAAATGTTTTTACAAGACACAGAGTGTCCCAAATAAATAAGAAATATCGAAGTTGTATTTTTTTAAATGTAACACCCTGTATATTATTGCATTTTTAGTTTCTACGATTAAAATAAAGGTAAATTTGATTAAGGTTTATTACACTTAAACCTTACCGTTTTTTAAATATTTTCAATTTTGTGAAATTGCAGTATAAATTTTAAGGCTTCATTTCTCCGAGGGTATCAAAGTTTTTAATACTAAATATTTACTGAAGTTTATTTATTGATCAGTTGTTGTGTTGCAATAATAAAAATTATACTACCTTATACAGAGTGTCTAAAAATTTATTTTAAATAATTACTAGTTTTAAACGGCAATAACTTGTTTAATTTAAATGGAACACCCTGTATATTTTATCAGAATCAGATGCACAATTTAATTGTCTATCAAATTGTGTTATACTACTTTTTACCTATCCCTTCAAGTTTTCGTAGAAAATGCATTTTTTTATAATTTAGATCTCATTTATATACCCATGGAATATTGACATTTTAGATTGTTTTTAAAACAACAAATGTACAAAATGTACATGCTATTAATATTATCGTTTTTAGTAAAACGATAATATTACTAGCTCATTTGTATGCAAAAAGAAAACTATTTAAATCTTTATAAAAGAGTATACCATTAATTAAATATACCACGAGTATTTCCACCCAAATACTAATTAATTACACACTTAATTGTGTTCGTTAATAAATTATTCTAAATAAATGTGGATTTGAATCAGAAATCAATATAATAGTAAGTTATGAAAATGAACGTCTCTGTTGTTATAAATAAGCATTTGTCAAAAAATGAAATATCATTTTTAAGGTGCTAGTTTTTTACCACACTGTCTAATACACATACATAATTCAGTTTTTTAGTATTTGGAGTAATTATTATTAATCAACGCAAACAGTCAATTAATGTAGTTTAAATACTGGAATCATATTAATTGGCCCTCTTTAACAAATATTTAAACAGTTTTTTTTTTATTTTTTAATGTAATAAATGAACTATATCGACAATATTAGTATCTGTACTCTTTAAAAATTTAGTACATCTTTAAAAATAATCTAAAATGTCAGTATTCCATGGGTATATTGATAAATGAGTTCTAAATTACAAGAAAATGCATTTTCTACGGAAACTTGAAGAGATAGGTAAAAAATGGGATACTACAATTTGATAGACAATTAAATTGTGCATCTGATTCTCATAAAATATACAGGGTGTTCCACTTAAATTAAACAAGTTATTGCCGTTTAAAGCTAATAATTATTTAAAATAAATATTTAGACACTCTGTATAAGGTAGTAAAATTTTTATTATTGCAACACAATAACTGACCAATAAGTAAACTTCATTAAATATTTACTATTAAAACCTTTGATACCCTCGGAGAAATGAAGCCTTAAAATTTATACTGCCACAAAAATTTAATCTAATCTAACTTTAACTTATTTATTTAAAGTAGCTTTTTAGTATAAAACTCAATTTTTTAGAATCATACATGGTTTGACACTTTTATGAGTTAAAAAGAGATGGGTATATAAATATGGCAACACGGTTGAGTTTCGTCTATCTTTCTGTCATTTGGCTCAGTGACGTGACGGTGGCGTGATGTTTTTTTTTATCAAAAATTGATGAATTTTATCAAAAATTGATTGAGATTGCCCCAGACCAATTTTCCATTATAACTAGTTTTGTCTGAGGTCTAACTGAGGGTAACTCTAATTTCCACTTCTAATCCAATAGTCCACCTTTTTACAAACTATGCACTGGCGAACCATCGTACATAGTTAAAAACTACTTTAAATAGTTTTCTTAGCAATAAACACTAATAATTATTAGAAAGTTGTTTAAAAGCTACAAAAACTTTCAACTACCGCAGAAAACCCACAACCGCGTGCTGTCAAATATAAATTGAATGAAAACAAATGAAAACGTCAAAAATGTCAATGTAATTCCTACAGATTTCGACAGTTTCGTAGTAAAGATGAATCCACAGCGATGCCGCTAGTTGTCATTGTAATTTCCCTAACATAATTAAATTAGAAAACTAAAAATAATTACAAAGGTATAATCCTGGCACAATCTATGTATATTAATTAAAGTTATATACCTAGACAAATAGTTAGTTTAACGTTTCTATAGGTACCCAAAAAACATTAATAACAATAATAACATTTGGAACTCGAACCGTGTTCTATCACATACCGCGTAAATCTGTCATCATCGATTTTTGCGGAACACGGTTCGTGATCGCGATAAAATGTAAATTGTTTTGTCTCCCTTTATTTAGATGTCTTTACAATTACAAATATCTTTACTCTTCCAGGCATCCTAAGAGCTCTGGCCCCTCACCAAAGAGTCAACCACTTCCCCCGATCCTACGAACTAACCCGAAAAGACCGTCTCTACAAGAACATCGAACGCATGCAACACCTCAAAGGCCCCAAACACTTCGATTTCATCCCCCAAACCTTCGTCATGCCCACCGAGTTCAAAGAGCTGTGTTCCGTCCACCACAAGGTCAGGGGTCCGTGGATAGTCAAGCCGGTAGCGTCCAGCAGAGGGCGGGGCATATTCATAGTGGAAACCCCCAACCAGGTGTCGCTAGAAGAGCCTCTGGTCGTGGCCAAGTATATTTCGAATCCGTTCCTGGTCGCTGGGCATAAGTGCGATTTGAGGTTGTACGTTGTGGTGACGAGTTTTGATCCGTTGCTGATCTATATTTACGAAGAGGGGTTGGTGAGGTTCGCAACCGTCAAATACGATTCTAGTCATAAGCAGCTGTGGAATCCGTGCATGCACCTTTGTAATTACAGTATTAACAAGTATCATAGCGATTACGTTAAGTAAGTATACCGTGCTGGCAACTGTTACTTTTGGGTCGGCATTCACATGTGTGGAAGTAAATCGCATAGGGATCTTATTAAGTCAGAGTGAGAGAAATGCGACGGTGTACTGTTGCGGCGTTGCCGATACGCCTTTCCCTATCAAGTAAAGTAAAATCACGATCGCAAACCGCTTATTTTTAAAAGACTTTTTTTTTCAAGAGATAACTAGATAAAATCATTAGACATGTTTCTGAGCATCTGAAATGGAATTATAGGGATATCGTTAGGGTGTCATTTTTTTATTACGAAAAAACGTCAGTAATCGCGGTAATTTAAAAACTCTACTTTTTAACACATAACAGGCCATAATTCAAGAACCACTTTAGATATTGAAACTTTTTTTTATTTTCAAGATCAGATATTTTACAATATGTTTACATAAGAATCATTACAATCCATCCATTTACTATTAGAGCATAGCAATTTTCAGCAATCGTGTAATTTTTTTATTGATAAAGATTTTCACATACTGTCCACAAAGAAAATACAGCAGAAATATTGACAAAGTTCTTGAAAAAACTACAATCTATTATTTCTAATAGATTTCGAGATATCGATTTTTGAATTCAGAGTTCTAATAGCGCGACCACTATCGAACACCCACTCAATTCCACTTAATTTTTACCAAAAATGCAAGTGTTTCTAGCTTGCACTTAAAAAATTTCAAGCTATAGGGAAAATTACAACGACTCGTTAATAAATAAACAAATTAAGTATCACGACACGTAATTAAATCTTGAAGCTGAACGCATGACGTACACCTTTCCCTAGAACTTTAAGTACTGACAGAGGTATTGATTGGGTCGACTGGTCAACTGCGACAAATCTGCTATATCCCCTTCCACGTCTCTTAGCGATGTGCACAGTTTCTCGGTTTATTTCATACGTTTGGCAATGTGTTTACTGTCCTCTCTTTGTTCAGTGCATTATAAACGCCATTGTACTCTTCTTACGTACGGAAATCTCGCCCCAAGACTAACCTTTGCCAGCCCTTAGTATAGTAATCGCAAAACATTTTCCGATGCACGTCATCAATCATATCATTGACACTAAAGTCTATAAACCTGACTAAATGAAATTTTGGCAAAAATGTTTAAATTTGTTGTATAATTTAAGATACCCAGCAGCTCTTCATTTTACTTTATAGAGCAAATGATTGTAACAGGTATTTTATTTAGATTAAAGCTGCAAAAATTGGTTTAAACTTTAAACCGAATTTTATTATCACTAGGTTGGTCACATTGCGCCGTTTTCAGCAAGGTTGTCGTTTATTATTTGACAGTTATCCTAATGTCAGTCATTATTTTGTATACTATTGTGTTGTTGTTGAATCTTTGTGAGTAATTCTCGTTTTTTTGCCTATAAACGAGAGAAGTTTATTAATGTCACTTAAATTTTCATGTCAGTCATATTTTGATGTTGCCAATTCATCGTTTAAAATATTTTTAAACCACAAACTAGCATTATATTATGGTTTTATATCTATTTGACATTTCTATTTTTTGACAATTTTTGACATTAACGCTTGGCTTTGTTGACTTATCAGTACATATCTCATTGTTATTTCAACATGTTCAAAGTATCTATACTAATATATAAAATCCTGTGATAAAGTGACTGACACACTGATTAATCACGATCTTGCTCAAACCACTCAACGTAAGAAGCTCAATTTTGGCATACAGGTTGATTCTAGGGTGTAGAGGTTCGATAAGAAGGGATTTTTCGAAATTCCAGTTCCAAGGGGGCGAAACCACCCCACAAATATTACAATATTTTTTATTTAAAAAACGGTCAAGTTTCCGAAAAAACGCTTAAACACGTATATTTTATTTTGTTTTTTTACATATTTTAAGATTTTTCAAAAATGTATACAGGGTGTTTCGAAAAATCTGGTCATTGATTAATCACGATCCTGCTTAAAGCGCTTGACGTAAAAAGCTGATTTTTGGAAAACCGACTTTAGGGTGTAGAGGTCCGATAAGAAGGGATTTTTCGAAACTCGAATTCTCAGGGGGTGAAACCACCCCTCAAATATTAGAATATTTTTTATTTAAATACCGGTGAGTTTTTCGGAAAAACTCTTAAACACGTATATTTCATTTTGTTGGTTTACATATTTTAAGATTTTTTAAAAATTTATACAGGCTGTTTCATAAAATATGACCATTGAGTAATCACGATTCTGCTTAAACTGCTCGACGTTTAAAGCTGATTTTTGGCAAACGGATTGGCTGTGGTGTGTAGATGTTCGATATGGAGGGGTTTCTCGAATTTCAAATTCCAAGAGGGTGAAAAGGCCCCTCAAATATTACAATATTTGTTTTTTAAAAAACGGTTAGTCTTTCGGGAAAACGCTTGGACACCCATAATTTATTTTGTTTTTTACATATTTTGAAATTTTTAAAAAATATCATACAGGGTGTTCCAAAAAGTTGGGTAATTGATTAACCACGATTCTGCTTAAACTGCTTGACGTAAAAAGCTTATTTTTGGCAAACGGATTTTTCGAAAGTCAAATTCCAACGAGATGAAACTACCCCTCAAATATTACCAAGTTATATAATAATATCGCCATATTGTTTTCTTCTCATGCTGACATAAATGTGAGAAAATTTTATCCAGATTGTATGTTAATGGCAATTCTTGCTTTGCTTTATCATCACCATTACAAATGATTAATTCGACGCCAATGAAGTCGCGGGTACACGCTATTTCTTTATAAAATAAAAGAACATCTGACATTTTGACATCAGATATTTGATTTTCTATTTGTACATTGATGTTGTAAATCGGAAATTGTTTTGCTTTTACTTTACCTTTTAAAAAATTAATTAATTTAAGAGTTTATTTGAACTATTTTCTATGGTAGATCAGACGATCCTAGTGCCGAAAATGTCGGACACAAATGGACCCTAAGCGCATTGTTACGTCACTTAAAGTCTGAGGGCAAGGACACAGCATTGCTGATGTCACAGATCGAAGATGTAGTTATCAAGGCTGTTTTGGCTTCAGCTAATTCTATTATATCTGCCTGCAAAATGTTTGTGCCCCACCAAAACAACTGTTTCGGTAAGTTAGTTTTTTTTTTAAATAGCGAGAATAACAGGTTTTTAAAAACTGGCATCAGAAAAAAATAAACAGTACAATATTTCACAATTTTTTTACAGAACTGTATGGATTTGACATTCTAATTGATTCTAACCTCAAACCTTGGCTGTTAGAAGTCAATCTTTCTCCATCTTTAAATTGTGACAGTCCGCTAGATGTCAGACTTAAATCCGCCATGTTGGCCGACCTGCTCACATTGGTCGGAATTCCAGCGGTAGATCCTATACTTAGACCAAGCAGTACAGTCAATCTCTCAAAAGCTAGTTTGAGCCTGAAAATGAAGTTTAGCAACGTAAGTTGTGTTGATTTTTTAAATATATTTTTGTTAAATCAGAATGTATGAGAAATAAGCTCTACAGAGTGTTCCATTTTGGTTGCAATCTCGCTTATTTCAGTAATGTTCTATCTTAGTAAAGATAGAACCTCCTGGTTATTATGAACCCAAGTTACTTTTTTGTAAAATCAAAAATTGGGACACCCTATACAGAATTAAGAGTCGTCTAATTTCATTTTCTTTGTGTTTATTTCTAGTGCCGCCGTGTACATTCTGCCGACGGCCTAAGCAACACCTTCCCAAAGAAACAGCCTCAAACTGCCGCAAGTTCTCGTAGGATATCCTCTGCCTCTTTGCAGCCCACTCCAGAAGAAACTAGAATAATCAAGAACGCCCAGTCGCAGTTCGAACGAAGAGGAGGCTTTGTCAGGATATTCCCGGCCGTTGACAGTTGGTCGCGCTACTCTCAGTACCTGGGTAAGACATTCCTGGGTAATTCTGTTCCAACCAGTAGCGTCAGCTCTTGGTAAAAAATACATTGTTCTTAATTTTTTTTAATCACTGATCTTTTTTATGATTGGAATGACCCATATCTGGATGACCAAGTCTGTATAACCATTGTTAAATCTTTTTTACAGATGCTAACACTGGTATTCCATTGTCGGGCACGGCATCTAGCACCTACCAATATAACAACGCGCACAATTACAACTTACTGTTGTATTCTGTCTTCTTTCCCGAAGAATCCGCCACTGTTTTCAGGAATACCGATAAATCAAACCCCAGAGCCAAGTTTACGTCACTAGAACGCAAGAGGGAGCCATCTTTAGACAATCAACCAGGTAAGAAATTTAGAACACCAGTGTATTTTTATACCGACCCTCGTATACTCAAGTCATTTGAACTACTTGTACCAGGACTGTTCATAATGTATGGTAGCTGGTAGGATTGAAGAACAACGTTTTTTAAGTGTTTTTTTAATGGTTTAAAACTGTTTTAAACACTATTTTAAATCCATTGTTGAGAGAGATTATGTGTAATTTGACATATGATATATCATTCTATTCAGAGTGTCATTTTCTATCCAATAAAGTAGAAATTTATCGAGCTTGTCATTTAAAAATCAAAAGTTGCAGTCATTTCCGGTGAAACAGGAAGTTACCAAAAACAATTGAATACGTCAATCAATCCTAATTTATTTCATATACTAACATACGAAATCTCGTTTTTTCTTGTCTGAAACAATAAAAAAGTTATAGCGGTGACTCACTTTTGAGTCGCACCCGGTATATATAAACGGATCTCAAACGGTAATAAAAAAAGCAAAATTGCTCGATATTCCCTCCTTTTGTAAATCGTTTATTAATTTTAGAGCGTTCCTGGTACAAGTGAGCCATTTGAACTACTTCTTCCGGGACGGGTCAAAAAATATTTTTTTTTTAAACTTTCTATATTATCTTTTACTGTATTTTTAAAACGTTTACTGTACACATTTTCAGCAAGATTAAACAGTAGACAGGACAGATACGAGCGTATGTTGAACAGGGGCTACAAACAATCTTTGGCTCCTTGCAAGACCGCGCAGGATCCGGTGAGCGACGAGCTGCGCAGAAAGATTTTCGAAATGCTGAAGAACGGAAAGAAAATAACGTAAGTGGTGGAGGAATATTCGCCGTTATTCGACGATTATATTCGTAGTGATATGTTTTAGGCAATGCGAGGCCCGCAAAACGTTCAGCCAGTATTTGGTGTGCGTGTTGAAGAAAATCGTGACTGCGCCGGACCAAGACGAGCATGTCGAGATCGTTTTGAAGTTTTTGCAAAAGGCTTCGAACTATTTACGATCACCATATGTTGTCAAGGTAAGACATAGTATAGTCTGTAAAACAAATAACTTTGAATTTGACAGTTCCCGCGGGATTTTCTAGTGTTAATTTTATTAGGTTAGCAACTTACGGCCATGCTGACGCAATGCCGTCTCTTATAGAACAGCCTCGGAGCGAGGTTTATGACGTCACGCTAGTTAGATACTACGGATTAATACATATGTTGTAGAATACATGGAAAGCAATTATTCCTCGTATTTTTGATTTGTATTTTAAAAATGATATAGTTTACATGAAATATACATAATATACAGTTAATAAATACAATATATCGTGGGCGTACAGCGAAAATCCACTAAGTCACATTTTTGGTTGAATTGGATTAAACACACCACTATGTCCAGTTTTTCACGGTCTTTAACATGAAAACCCCATTAAGTCCAATTTCGGCATTCTTATAATATAATGGGTTTTTCATGTTAAAGACCGTGAAAAACTGGACATAGTGGTGTGTTTAATCCAATTCAACCAAAAATGTGACTTAGTGGATTTTCGCTGCACGCCCACGATATATACCTATTTATAGTAATAAATACTTTGGCAGATAAACTATGAACCATACAAATGCAGCAAATGTTTTACAATATGGCTGAAATCGTACTCCATAGTCAATGTAGATAGTTTTTGTGTTAAGAATAATAATTTAAAAAAATATGTGGTCATCTTTTGACAAGTTTATATTAGTTTATTAATTGCAGTAAACATTATAATATATAAATAAATTTTGTGAATGCAAATAATAATACATCACTATTAGAAGATATTGAATGTTTTTTGTTAAATTAGATCGATTTTGAAACCCCAAAATTTAAAATATATTTTACATTTTACCTATTATCCTATGTACCACCTATTCATTATTTGTATATTGTAAAACATTTGCTGCATTTGTATGGTTCATAGTTTATTTGCCAAAGTATTTATTACTATAAATAGGTACATATTATATTGTATTTATTAACTGTATATTATGTATATTTCATGTAAACTATATCATTTTTAAAATACAAACCAAAAATACGAGGAATAATTATGTTTTCCACGTATTCAACAAAACATATTTATTAATCCGTAGTATCTACCTAGCGTGACGTCATAAATCTCGCTCCGAGGCTGTTCTATTAGAGACGGCATTGCGTCAGCATGGCCGCAAGTTGCTAACTTAATAAAATTAAAACTAGAAAAGCCCGCGGGAACTGTCAAATTCAAAGTTATTTGTTTCACAGACTATAGTAGTATTTTTTAACTCTTTGGTTCTGATTGCAATCGTGGAAGCGATGCGGTTTTAGTGAAAGTGATTTTTTAATTCACTTCAAGGGCTTATTCACTTGTTTAATGAACGAAAGAAAGAGATCAGTTCATTAATTATGTGAAGGAATCAAGGGGGCAATCGGAATCCCACTAAATCTCATGTCTCCCTCACATGAGAGAGGGGATTTCTACAAATATCACGTAATTTTTTTCGGGCCAAAAGTAGTGTAAAAATGAAAGAAAATCAGATTAAAGTAAAACATGTTTCTATTGTAATCGTATTGTAATAATCGTCTCGACATTGACATTAAAGTCTATAAACCTGACTAAATAAAATTTTGGCAAAAATGTTTAAATTTATTGTATAATTTAAGATACCGAGCAGCTCTTTATTTTACTTTATAGAGCAAATGATTGTAACAGCTATTTTATTTAGATTAGTCAAGGGTAATAAAAGACCTTTATTGTCACGTTCTCGTTCAAAATAGTTAAAAAAAAAACAGGGAACACAAATTTTAAGAAATGCAATACAAAAACTCGAAAATTTAGTTCTTAAAAGAACTGTTTGTGCTTAAAAGTGCAATGTTTAAAAAAATTCTATGAAAATAGGCAAAAAACAAGAATTACTCACAAAGATTCAACAACAACACGATATTATACAAAAAAACTGACACTAGGATAATTGTCAAATAATAAAGGACAACATTGCTGATCGCCGCGCAATGTGACCAACATATACAAAAAAATAATGACTGACACTAGGATAATTGTCAAATAATAAAGGACAACATTGCTGATCGCCGCGCAATGTGACCAACATGCCGTTAATAAAATTCGGTTTAAACTAATTTTTGCAGCTTTAATCTAAATAAAATACTTGTTAAAATCATTTGCTCTATAAAGTAAAATAAACAGCTGCTCGATATCTTAAAGCATACAACAAATTTAAACATTTTTGCCAAAATTTCATTTACTCAGGTTTATAGACTTTAGTGTCACTGTCACGAACACAGTATATAAATTTTTTTATTGTTTCACAAAATGTCCCCGGCTTTTTTGTTACGTTTGAAAGATATATTTTTGGCACACAATAATTGTTAAGGTCGATCCTGTAATAAATAATGATAATGAATATTAATTTTATAATATCATGATTATTATTGTATATGTTTAATTTCAGGCTCCAAGTCTCCAACTAGACACCAAGGACCGCGCGGCGATCGTCGCCAAACAACTAAACGATTTTCTCTATTTGTACAACAGAGAAACTGAACTTTTTGTCGATAAATCAGACAAACCCAGCCAGATTCCCAAGGCCCTCTATCACGAATTTCTCGAAAAGGCTCGGTAAGACCCAAAAACCACGGAATACAAAGACTAAGAAAGGAATATATAAGTGAAATAGCCCTAGATCATATATACTTACGTGGATAAGTAAATCACTATGGAAACTGTCGCAAACATATCAACGACTTCCATATATCTTCTTTTTTTGTTGCGCACGCGGTGCTTCTACTCTATCTATCTTTGTCGAGGACCTATCGCCGCGCGCCAAATTTGAACATTAATTTTAAAAATTTAATTTGTAAAATGCTTATATTTGAACAATAAATCGAATATTTACTGTCACACAAATTAAATTATATAAAAAATACATTTAGCCACTCCGTACGAATAGCAATATTCTTAGGAAATCTAACCAAAAAGTATGCATGTGGCTTAATATAAATAAAAGAACAACTGAATACTTTACTTGCCTATGAAAAGATAATTCGAGAACTTTTATATTAGAACTTTTACACACTAAACACTTTCTAGTCATTTTTACGAGTATTTAGAAAGTCCAACGAAAATAAAATAGAAATATAGTTGCACAAACTTAAAATTAACTTCTCACTGAACACGCTTGCATCCTTGGCTATATAAAAGCGGTCGATAAAAGAGTAATTAATACAATTTTTAAAATAAAAAACGCTAATAACAAGCGTTGTTACACAATGGAAATAAGATTATGACAATATGATGAAAATGAAAAATTGGTTTCCATAACAATGTATAATTTGTCTTTCTAAACCGTATAAAATTGTAATTATTTTGGGAATACGTGCAACTTTTAAGGCCCATGGCGCAAAGTAAGGTCCTCGAGAAAGACAAGCCTATTGAACGTTTCATATGTACAACAAAGAAGGTTTGAAAATGGCATGTCGTGATGTTGGAGACATATTTTTTAATGCTGCTTAACTTCTGGTGTTCATTTATTCACATAAGTATATAATATGAACTAGGGAAATGGCAAAAGCGGTTCCACCATTTCCATGGAAATTTCAAATAAAATAGTTCCAGCCCCGCTCGCTAGGTGGAAGTGCAATTAATTTTTAGGTTAGGGAGTTAGTAAAATTCTTTGAATAAGAAGACTAAGGAAGGAGCATAATGCTATCCATGTATTCATGCATGGTGGGCGGAAAAAGCACCATAAAAGCACTCTAGGGTGGGAATCCTTGACAGTTCTGTTTGACGATTCATTTGACACATTTGAATTTGATTTGAAATTTTGTGGATTGGGCAGTCTTTACGGAGCTTATTTTATGTTATTTATTATTTATTCTACTACTGATAGTTGTATAAAGGTAGTAAATCTAGATGGAAGTTGTGTGGCAGAACTTAAATTATCAGTGACGCTATCGCGATTTATCGAAAAAGACTCTAAAATACTTGGATGTGTTAGCGTGCGGTAGATCTCAGCAAAAATCGAGTGAAATAATGGAACAACTTTTCGCTAGTAAGTGACTTTATAATATACATACGTGTTGTAAACCTAAAAATGTGAAATTCACTTAAATTAACTAATTATATATTTTTTATTGCATTTTTGCTTTTATTTACTACTTGTCAAAGATTAGATGTCAGAGAATTTAGATACGTCAATTTGACTTACCTGCTTCAGTAGCGTATCGGATGTTCATAGTTATAAATAATTATTATAACTTATCTATTTTTTTATTAGAATTTTATACTTTTATAACAATTTTAATAACTACCAACATTTATTCACAACGTAAAAAAAAAAAAATATTGAGTCTACCACATTTAGCCACTCCGTACGAATAGCAATATTCTTAGGAAATCTAACCAAAAAGTATGCATGTGGCTTAATATAAATAAAAGAACAACTGAATACTTTACTTGCCTATGAAAAGATAATTCGAGAACTTTTATATTAGAACTTTTACACATTAAACACTTGCTAGTAATTTTTACGAAATATATACTAATAAAAATCCAACGAAAAAAAATAGAAATATAGTTGCACAATCTTAAAATTAACTTCTCACTGAACACGCGTGCATCTAACATCTAACTAAAATGCTTTTATGTCTAGGCGTTAAAATTACTCTTTTATATTGTCAATCACGTCGCAAAAATTAATACTTTTGTGACGTTCGAAAAAAAAAACATTATCTGACTCTTTCCTTAGTTTTTTTTTATAATTCAAAGTAAAAACCCGAATTTTTAACACTCGTTTTTATCTAAAACCTTTCTTTCTCTATTTTTTTTTTCAGAGAGTCCGATTTAGAGGAGGTCTTGATCCATCAAACCACTCATAAAGCACCGACATACGCTGTAGGATTTCAAGGAGTTCTAAAATGCATTCCCAACGTGCCCAAACAGTACGGCTTAAAACCGCCTTATAAGCCGAACAAGCTATGCAAAGGGGTTAGGGTTGCTTCTAGTTCGTGATTTAGTCGGCAAAATGGATGTAGGTGGCGCTGGTAGCCTCATTTTCTACCATAATGATGTCGAAACTCTTCTAAACAGTAAGAGATAAGGATGATTAAATGGAAGAAAAATTGTCTTTTTTAAAGTGTGTAACGTGACATTTTTGAACATAACAAATACTATTATTTTTGAGGTTCTTTTAAATTTCTTCATTTAGTTTAAATGTAGCGTTTATTTTGATAGGAACATTCAAATATAAATTTTAGAATAATTTCTTTTAGTCTAAGTATTTTTGGCCATAGTTGAGATTCAAATTTTCTTCCATTTTACTGTTTCTTATGTTGTTGTCTAATGAAAACCACGTCATAGTAAGCGTTCAAATACAATTTATTTTGAACTTTACTGTATTGGAATTCTTGATAGCATCAACTATAATAATAATTTACTTAATCGAGAAAATATATTTGTTATTGTTATGAAACAGTAAAGTTTGAACTGAAATACTATTCAGTACCTACTATGACATCGTTTTCCTTCAATAACAAGGTTGTTTAGAGAGATGCGAAATTTTATAGAACCGTTCAATTTTAAACAGCAGTATAACAATTTTAAATACGAGTTTTTGCGTAATCCATCAAAATTATACAGGTTGTGTCAAAAAGTTTGTTTATAAATAATGTTTTTTTATTATTGTTACCAAAAAAATGTTTAGAATTTATTCGGCAGGATTTTTTTAATTTGCCTCCATGACAGTTACCCTGTGACATATGTCAAAATGATTATTTTTGAATTGTTTCCACGCAAGCTTTTTAGAGATAACTTGGAGTAAAATAGAGTACACATCTATTTTTTTTAACTTTTTGGCACGCCCTGTATATTTTGGGTGATGTTTTACGGGGTGACATTACTGTCAATTTTATTTGATACAGATTCGACATATTTAATGGTAGATCATGTTAACGAAGTTTGGCTTTCCATTTGTAGCTGGAGCCACAGGTAAGAGCCATCTGTCAAATATCTGCCGACATTTTGGTGGCAGTCAATGATATTTTAGATCTCTTCTATATCTATGTACTGGATATGTTGTAATGCCAAAATAGTTTTGTTTCTTTTTTTTCTTTGTTGCTAATTTAATGTGTTGTAAACCAAAAAAAAAGGATGCTGTATTTGTTCAAAACGATATTTCTGTGATACCGGTAGAGATGACTTAAACATAACTTTATTTTATTACGCATATTTCATTTGTTTGATAATTTCTAGAATAAAAGAAAGTTTATTTTTATCGATATCAGTTTCTTTGATTTTGTTGAGTTATTATGAGTAGTTGAAAAGAATTTGCTCAATATTTTTTGTTTTGTTTGTAAAATGTTTATATTTATTAGTATTATCTTTGTTTCGTCGCTTTTTTTTGTGTGCGCATATTGTGAATAACTAATCAACGAAATCGTGTATTTTTCTATGTGATTCGTTTTGATATAGGCTTGGTGGATTTCAACCGATTTTTTAAGATTCCTACAACAGCGCTTGGCCAGGATGTCCCATTTTTGTGTGTTTTATGGGGTTTCTGGTTTATGAGTAGAGATATAAAGATGCCGTTTTCACATCATTGTTCTACTTATTATGAAACTAAATATGCTACACACAGATTTATCCTAGCCTTCTTAGTTCAAAGTTATTTCTTTTTTTTACTTTTTATTTTTTAATTAGTAGAAATTTTTGCATTTTTCGTTAACCTTTGTATCTCGATTATCTTATAACTTATCGAAAAGATGAAAAGGATCAGTTATGAGCAAGTATGGGCAAGATCAGTGATGGGTAAGTACACAATTTGTAGATAAATAAAAACTGGGTATAATATAATATAAATATTATAGATATACTCGTATTCTTGATAATATTACTGGTATTATACCGGGTATTTACTATGCGGTCGTTGAAAATACCTTTTATAAAATTAGGCTGTTCATCTAAATGTACAGGTATATACCGGATACCCTGATTTTGTTCTGTTCTACCCATTGAGTACTCACCCACCGCCCGTGTCTAGTTTTTCAGGCAGAATGCAGTGACGAAACTAGTTCTTCGTTGGGAGCTGTCTATTTCGAAAAATGACTCAAACTTATGTTCTTTTTTTAAGCAGGACACTATATATTATTTTTTATTTTATTTTCCTTCTTATGAGCTTTCTAAAATTATAATATACTCTATATTTATTTATTTAGGTACTGCTAAACTGATAAACGGCTCTTATTTTATTTAACTTAATTTTACCAGATAGTTGCTTTGCATTGTGATATTTTGATAAACTACACGGAAACTGAACTTGTGCTGCTTTTAAATAACATGGCAATAACCAACATTTTACGTCGAATAAATTACTTGATTGTTTTGATTACCTAATTTAAACCGGCCGACTATATAATAAAGTTGTTTATGAAAATAAGTATTTTAGAAAGCCCGTAATAAGGAAAATAAAATAATATACAAAATATCGCATTTAAAAAAACATATAAGTTTTAGTCAATTTAAAAAAGACAGATTCCACCGAAGAAATAGTTACGTCACTGCATTTTACGTGAAAAACTGTACGGGAGACCGTTTTCACCTTTTCGATAAGTTATGATTCAAAGGGGATCGAAAAATGCAATAATTTCAGATTCGCCCTGTATTTTAGGAAGTAAGAGATCTGTAGTTTACTTAGTAGCATCTTTAGTTTCATAAAAAAGTAACAGCGTAATGTGAAAATCGCATCTTTGTATCTCGAGTCATAAACGAGAAACCCTGCAAAACACACGAAAATGGGACACCCTGTACAGACGTACTGCCAAATCAAGAAATCAACTACGAATGAAATCCAAGATCGATTTATATATTTTATATATTTTAATATTTTTTTTTGTGTTCGTGATAATTCCTTTGCTACTTCGTCCAAGAAACCGACAGTACGGGGAAGGAGCGTTTCGAGGAAGTAAACGGACGAAGGAGCGTTTTGACGAAGGAACGAAGGAACACACAGTCGCATAAAATCGACATTTTCCATAGTAAATATAAGATTTTTGGACGAAGGGACGCGACGAAGGAAGGAAGTGAAGTAGCGAAGTGTGAGTATGGGGCTTTAGGCAGTATAATTTGTGAAAATTCTAAAAATAAAAATAAAAAAGTAAATATTTTGATATCTACAGAAGGTCTGACATCTAAAAATGAACTGAAATGCACCAAGCGTATAGCTGAAGCAATATTGTTGAAGCCTATACGAGATGAAGCTGCCAAAAAATTAAACTAAATATTTATATATATAAATTAATACAATTTCGATAAAATTCAGGTAATTTAGGTGATTGTAGGCTTAAAAAATTAGTTAAATATTCCTAGGTACCCGCCAGCGCCGTTTTTTTCACAAATTGTAGTACAATTTACACTTTAAAAATATTATACAGTGTTTGGCAAAAAGTTTACAACAAATTAAAATTTCTTTATCAGAATTTAAAACAATACGTAAAAATATGTCGCGTGTCAACTGTCAAGGCGTCAAGTTATCAAAACGTCTTTAAATTATGGGGGGTAGAGGTAAGGAGAAACCAGTGGCGGCTCGTGAGTACATACGAAGGTGAGGCTACATGAGGTTAATAATTTTGTTCAAATACAATTAAATTTTCTCACCTATGAAGTATTATTCTGCGACGCGTTATCCTTTTTTTAATGGTACCAAACCTATTAGGTTTGGTACGCAAAAATATTTGAAAAGTTTTTAAATACCTATTGTCTACCTTGCCTCTTATCGTTAAATATTGCGAAAATTTTTTCAGTTTCATTTTGTCTTAGAAAAGGAGTTTCAAATTTATTAATTGATTTAACAAGTTTTGCTACAGCATCGCCATCTTAAGTGTTCCCTAATAATAATTCATCGTACATCTACCCTCCATATTTTAAACCTACATAGATATAAAATAAAATTCTGATACCTTTTTTTCTCGTTGCGTAAATTTTTGTCACGCCCTGTATAAAAGCATTGTGATATGTATATAAGACGCTTAGAATGGCTATTTTTGAATACCAAATGTGGTCTCTTTTACACCGTCTAGCTTTCAGTGTTATATAGCTTAGCAATTTAAAGATCAACGTTCGTGTTTGAGGCACAATTTTTTTTACACTTATACAATACACTCTACTTGGTACTTGTTTAGTAGCTACATTCTATTATGGCCTATGATAAAGGAAATTTTTTGAAATATTTATTCCTCGATATATTTTTTTGTAATGCCAAAAAATAGAGTTAAAATCTATAGATTTCTTACTTTTTCTACTTGACATACTCAGTATACACATTATTTTATGTTTGTTGATTTCTAGAAAGACATTTTTATTAATATTATGAAGTTTTTGTATCCTGTTTCTATATTTATAAATAAAGTTCCTTTTTGTGTGCACAATTATGTTGTTTTATTTAAACGGTGTGGAGAAAGAAAAAACAGTCAAGCAAATAAACGGGCTTTACTATAATCTTTGTACAGGGTGTCCCATTAAGAATAACTCTCGGCTGTATCTCGGAAAATATTAGCCGTAGGGCCTACGGAAAAAAATATTTACAACTAAAGGGGCTATGAGAAATTGCTGGAAATTATTTTCAAGTTTGTATAACGGCCGCTAGAGGGCGCAACCGCTATGGAAAATAAGAAAATAGAATTTTTACGGAATTTTGCCTAGATAATGGGTACTATAGATAATAGCTTCATAATCTTCAGTAAATTTTGGATTTTTTTCGTTTGAACCATTTTCCCCTATCTGCTAAAATAAAGTGGTGGGGGAAGGTTAGATCTATCTTTATTTAAATGTTAATAACTCCGGACTGGATGATCAGAATCTAACAAACGAGGGCTCGTTTAAAAGAGCGTTTCTTACTCTATATTATACCATAAAAATTATAATAATAAGGTTTTGAACGTAGACGCTAGGGGGCGCTTTTTCAAGCATCTTTTTATACCCCAAAAACGACTTACTTTTAGCACTTCTTAATAAAACTACGTGTTATATATCCAGTCTACCGATTTCTACCGAATTTTGACCAAGATTTCTATCGATAATAAAATTTTGCGACAACACTGCCCGCGAAAACGATTGCAGCGCCATATTATCGTAGTAGCATTTTTTTGCAACTGCATTAGTATGTGGCGCCATCAGTCGTTAACTAGTTCTACTATAAAAACAAATAAAAGGGATTTCTGTAAAAGCTAGGTTTTCCTGTGACATCTAGCGAAAAGTAGTGGTATATAATTTAGATAGAGTTCTGTAACTGTTCGGTTGTTTTGACATCTATCGGAAAATAGTTATGCTATTAATTCTCAAAATTAAATTAGAGAAATCTATTTTTCGAGGTCCCAAAAAGTATTTAATAAGAGCCATCTATTATTTAGATTTAACACTTTTTCTAATTTTAACCAAAGAAAAGTGTCGTATGGCGGCCGGTCTTGGGGTTTTTTGAAATTTTGGCTAGAAAAAATGATTTTATTGTGTATTGTTGGTTCCCAATATTTTCCTAAGGCTCTGCTCGACCGTTTGTAATAGTAAGTACCGTTTATTTCATGTTATTTTACGTATTTTCTGATCTAAAAGTTTTGTTGTTATCGCCAGCCATCATGGCGTTTCTTGGTATTTAACAGTATTTTTAAGTAATAATATTGTTTAAATACGTCCTCTGCAATTCTCTATCTTAAAATCATGAAATATTACTACATAATTGAAGACCTGAATACATAATACAATTTTCTTTTTGTTTTTTAAGCTAAATTTGCACGTAACAAATCCCACACAGACACTGGAATTTTTTTCAGATATCAATTTTCCTATGTCTAGTATATTATTTTCTATGTTTTAACATCATAAAACATATTTTCTAAATGTTTGGATATATTTGATTCTAAATATTATATTATTTGTGGCATTTTTTATATTACATAATTTTTTTTCTCATTCCCATTTTTTTAAACTACGCATTTACAAATGTCTTGTTTTTCTTGTATTATTGTTTAATTTTAGGAAAGGTAAACACATATAGTTGTTATAATTTTTAGATACATTAGCCAGGAAAAGATCTACTAGAATTTATTTTTTTAGTCTTGTTTTTGAAACCTCTTTTACACATCAATAAAAAGTTTGTTTTGATTTTTGAATGTCTGTATTCGTCACGCTGTTCTAAAAGACTGGGGATATTATGGAGGATTAAAATCACTTTAAAAACTCTTACAAATATATTTTCTAGATGCAAAACACTAATCTTTAGTAGAAGATT